TATCATTATAATCAATATCATTATTGTCTGCAAAAATTTGTTGTGATTCATTTTGTGGATCAAAAACCAAATCAGAATCATTCTAGATGATGAATTTTTCTTTTAACCAAGTTTGTTTTCTGCTACAGAACTAGATTGCAACTTCCGTTTGCATGCCCAAAAAGGAAGTACTTTGTCTAAGTATATGTCTTCAGAAAATATAAAAAGTATAATGAACAATATGAATTACTAGTAGGGATGGTGCAGTGGAGAGAGTGTTTGCTTGAAAATGGTTACTTAAATCCTATTTAGTTAATTTGCAAAATACTCAATGAATCTTATTGTAAGGTTACTGATATTAAGTAATCAAGTTCTCCTTGTACTTTACACTTGTTAAATTACGTCCTACATTCTAGTTTAACTTGAACTCTAATTTAAACAAGGAGCCTCACCTATAAGCCTTCATGGCTTCTTGATACTTTCTTGCCTTTTCTTTTGTCTTTTTTATATTTCCCATGTTTTGTCTACGTAAATCTGCTTTGTTCCCCTTTCAATATGTACTAAATGCATGCAATAAATAAACAAAAAAACAAAAAAATAAAACTCATCAATCTGCAACTATTGATTATTTGATATTACTGAGGCAACAGGATATTGCTGTACACAGTAAATGTTTACTAAAGCAATTTAATCTAAGGTGGCTACTTAAAAGGAAGAATTTTATCTCATTATTGATTGGGTACACTGGTATGGCCGAGTTTCTATTGCTTGAGGATACGCCACTGCAACTCTTATTTTAGGTTGGGAGCCAGCAAACCACTAATAAAACACATATTCAAGTCACAAATTTTTTAAAATCAAATTTATCAATTGAGAGTAGCCAACACAAACAAGAGTCACATTATGGGCTTCCAAATCATCCATGGGAGCAATAATTTAGTTTAAGACATCTTATCAGAAAATTATATCACGTATGCATATATTAAATAATGGAAATTGATGGCAATTTAGAATTTCTAACGTCCTCTCCCATAACATTCCTAATCTAATGGTCTGTCTCAACTTGTCCCAGAAATGTCAAAATAGTCGATATTACCTGTAGTGATAGGGTGCTCCAAGGGTATTGTAGGGTATTTGAAACAGATCAGCATGCAGCTGAAGTTTAGAGTACAACGAGGTCTATAAGGAAACATTTCAACTAAGATGTAATGAAAACAAAAGTGATTTTCACTTTCGCTATGATCGTGTTCCCAATACTTACACTTCTACTGGAGTTAAGTTTTGTTTTGCCAATATTATTAGAAGATGAGTTACCAGCGACAAGGAAATAATTAACTAGCAAACCTGATAACAAAATATTCATAATTGTCAACTCTTTTGTCACGAATTTTTAATTTGCAAGGTCTCTCCTTTGAAAAAAGAGAGGAAAGTCCATGCAAGGCGGAAATAAACTCTAAGGCAGTTGGTTTAGTGTTAATGAAAACTGAAAAATTAACTGTGGAATTGTTGAAAACAAAGAATTGCTTAAGATTTTATCCTCACCAGGTAAGTTATAATTTCCTCCACGTAAACTAGGCCGACCCTGTTGCTGTTGCTGTTATCTGCTGTAGTCGTTTCATGAAAAATATTTTTATCACCTAAAAAGGTGATCACTTCTTGGATAGACAGTCTGTTCTCAAGTTGTGTAACCAGCAATAGATACTGAAGCCACTTGGAGTGCAAGCAGGCTATGTGAATGGAGAGTGTCAAATTTTGCATTCGCTGTTAGTTCAAGTCCCATTTTAGAGTTGAAAAAGAGTAAAAAAGTCTGCATACTTTATAGAGCCGAAAGCATAAAGATTTGTTGGGATTTAAGTTGCAAAAAATAATCAATACACAAATAGCCTGATTTCCATTTGTTCAATTTTTGATCCCCTTTTGGTAACCGGTGTAGTATTGCAAACTCTTTGCTTTAAACTTCGCATTAATATCGCCTCTATACTTCCAATGCACTCGTCACATGTAAGTAATTTGAATACTGACATGGCGTCTCGTCTCTATGTATTTCTCAACATTACACTTCGTCAAGAGGCTGTAAACTTAGACATGGTTTGATGCTACTCTGATCTAAAGATTTAATGATTGTAACCGAGAAGTTACAATTCATAGCCGGACCCAACGTTTTTATTTAAAATTTCATGTATGTTACTTTTCGGTTACATCCAGTAAATCTTTAAACCAAAGTAGCATCAAACTATGTCTGATTGTCCACCTGGTGGCCTTGTGAACATTAATATATCTTAGGTTGTGAACTGTTTATATTCTCTTGATCCCGTTAAGATTATATATCTCCACGGTTGAAGATTTTCCAAATCCTACTGAAGCAAGTCTTAACCAGCTGCAATGTCTATAATCTTTGAACATTTACAGTCGTTTCAAACCATTTCGCATAATTGTGATCATAGTTGGTTCGAAGATGTAACTATTCACTG